GTGCATCTGGATATTTGGTTAACTTTTCTACATTTGGAAAAGAGACTAGATTTTTGCCTAATTCTGTGGTTCTGACAAGGAAAAGGTTTCAAGCCAAGAAATTAAGCAAAGATAGTTTTCCAGAATCAGGGTTTATTATGCCTAACAGATGTGATGATAACATGACATCTGATGAAGATTCTAATGAAAAAGAACCAGACGAAGGTTTGGCTATGCTCGTAATGATTGCAGTTTTAAAATGCCTTAAGACACGGGGTGGACCCCTGAGTTCCAAAGAAATGATGCAGATATTGTCTAATATATCAGGAAAGAAAATAGTTAAAATAGAAGACTTTACCTCTGGTGAAAACAATGAAAACGTGAAAAAACTTGTTAGAGACGTCTGCAAAGAACTTGAAAATGAGTTTGGTTCACCTGAAGGGGAAGGTAAGGCCATTATAACACAGCCTTTCCAAGTATATTGCGGAGCAATTCAAAATCATGGTATCTTCCTTGTAAAAATCGCTGCATTCAAATGAAAAACTGGTAAAACTGGAAAATGACTGTTCATCTAACAGATGGAAGTTTATCATGTTAAGTGAATGCATTTCAGAGCTTTCACTGGCCGAAGACAGCATAGATGCGATAAAGATCGACGGCACAGACTGCTTTCTCCTGATGTATTTGAATTGCATAAAGCCTCAAATTATGCAGTTGTGTGCAGAACCCATGGAAAACCCATTAGTGAATAGAAACACCAAAAAGTTGGCACAGGAGCTGACGGAAAAATTATATTTCTACTTACTGGGGGGCCATTTTAATCCACCTGTTGTTAGTCCAAAGCGAAAATTTCTTTCAGACTCTGTCCTCTCGTTAAAGAAAGTAAGAGACATTTCTGGCCGGATCCAAATTAGCCCTGAAGTATTGTATGCCAGAACAGAAGAGGAGGTGAGGATTTTTGTCCATAATGTCTCTTTATGGAGAACAGCGGAGACTAATGACATCCGTTACAGCAAAAGGGTTTGCATTGTGGTCTCAGAGATCTGTAAAATGTTTGAAGAAATATGTGATACATCAGCCAAAATCCAAAGCCCAGAAACCCATTCTCTGAAACTCAGCAAGCCAGAAGACAATGACTCTACCCCCAAGGAAACAGATCTGATTAACGACAAAGACGGAGGGAACAGTTTGGTCTTGGAGAACAGGGAGCTGGTTGGACAAAGAACTTATTCACCAGACAAAATCCAAAGTCCAGAAACCAGTTCTTTGCACTTCAACGAGCCAGAAAATAAGCACTCTACCCTCACGAAAAAAGATCTGATAAATCAGGAAGACGGAGGGTGCAGTGTGGTCTGGGACTTTGAGGATACGGTTGAACAAAGCCCGTATACACCAGACCAACTCCAGATCCAGGAAACCAGTTCTCTACATTTCATCGAGCCAGAAAATAAGCACTCTACCCTCACGAAAAAAGATCTGATAAATCAGGAAGACGGAGGGTGCAGTGTGGTCTGGGACTTTGAGGATACGGTTGAACAAAGCCCGTATACACCAGACCAACTCCAAATCCAGGAAACCAGTTCTCTACATTTCATCGAGCCAGAAAACAAGGACTCTACCCTCACGAAAAAAGATCTGATAAATGAGGAAGACGGAGGGTGCAGTGTGGTCTGGGACTTTGAGGATACGGTTGAACAAAGCCAGCATACACCAGACCAACTCCAGATCCAGGAAACCAGTTCTCTAAGTTCCAGGGAGCAAGGAAATGAGGATCTGGATAGTGCATCTGGATATTTGGTTAACTTTTCTACATTTGGAAAAGAGACTAGATTTTTGCCTAATTCTGTGGTTCTGACAAGGAAAAGGTTTCAAGCCAAGAAATTAAGCAAAGATAGTTTTCCAGAATCAGGGTTTATTATGCCTAACAGATGTGATGATAACATGACATCTGATGAAGATTCTAATGAAAAAGAACCAGACGAAGGTTTGGCTATGCTCGTAATGATTGCAGTTTTAAAATGCCTTAAGACACGGGGTGGACCCCTGAGTTCCAAAGAAATGATGCAGATATTGTCTAATATATCAGTAAAGAAAATAGTTAAAATAGAAGACTTTACCTCTGGTGAAAACAATGAAAACGTGAAAAAACTTGTTAGAGACGTCTGCAAAGAACTTGAAAATGAGTTTGGTTCACCTGAAGGGGAAGGTAAGGCCATTATAACACAGCCTGTTTGTCCTATTCAGAGTACTGTTCTGAAATATTTAAAAAGTAATCTTACCAAAACAAAGAAATCCCCAATTCGCAGGTTCCTCTCAGCTATTAAAAAATCTTTTAAGAACCTGTACCTAAAGCAGTGAGGGTCTACTCCTGCTTCGCAGATAAACAACCTAAGCTATTTTTTTTTTTATAGTTTTTGCTTTTTATTTCTGGGCTTTATTTGTTTTTTCACTTTTAACAATTTTTTTTTAATTTCTTTTAAGAACATTTAGTTATTAGATATTGTATACATGGTTTTATTCTAAAGGTTCTCCTTTCTTTTACAGGAGAACCTTTAGAATAAAACCATCACTTTTAATTTAGGACTTTCTTAGTTTGGGTTTTCTCCGGGTACTCCGGGTTTTCCTTTTAAAACACAATCGTCTAATTAGACATTCAGAATAAATAAATAAATTGAAATCTTAATATGTATTTTAAATCTAAATCTTCACTTGGCAGGCTGTCTACCTTTTGTGGGAGGGTCGCTCCTAACCCTAGCATAATCATTCCTAACTAAATGTTACCACAATGAACTCTTTATTCTAAGCGCAGATGTCAGGATAAAAGAAAAAAAAATTACTTATATTAAAGTAAAGATTAATGTGAAGTAATACTTTGCAAAATTCGGGGATTGATAATATGTATATATGAAGATCATACAGTATATATATATATATATATATATATATATATATGTATATATATATATATATATATATATATATATATACATATATATATATATATATATATATATATATATATATATATATATATATATATATATATATATGTATATGTAAAAAAAAAGAAATGTAAATCCCTTTATTGTCCCACAATGCGGATATTGACTCTCTGCATTTGATCCCCAAAATTGAATAACCTTAAAATTAGGAAATATTTAAACAAAACTTTATTCCCAGGCAAGATAAACAAAAATAATATTCTACAAATATGACAAAAAAAATGGATTGAACAATTAAGAAGCTTTTATCTGAAACTCCCAATATAAACAAAAGCTAAAGAAACACATTTAAAATTCTTAAATGCTATCTACCCCTCCAAAGAATTACTAAGAATTTGTTTCAACATTGATGATAACAGATGCAACAGACCATATTTCTATGAATGCAACAATGCTAAAATATTTTGTTAAAACTTAGAAAGATTGATCAAATGGATATTAATTTTGAAGCATACTGCACCCTTTTTTATGCATTTTGTAACTTTATGTTGTTTAGATAATCATGACCTGATATTCTCAATACCTAAATGTACCTAATGCACTTTGTATATTTGAATTACTGTTAAGTCCCAGACAGTCATATAACAATTAAAGAAAACAAGCATAATGTTGATTACGATAAAAAGAAATAGTAACGTTTCTCCATCAGCAGCTGTTATCGCTGTGAGTGAACACTTCTTTTACGCCTTACCCCTGCTTATTATGGGGGGAACGGTATCTGATGGGCATCTGCACCCCGTCAGATAGCATTCCCTCTTCTTAACATGGGGGGGGAACGGTATCTGTTGGGCTTCTAAACCCCGTCAGATAACGTTCCCCTCTTCTTAAAATGGGGGGAACGGTATCTGATGCGGTGTAAATATCATCAGGCTGCATTACCTCTACTCATGGGTGTGAAGTTTTTTAACAGGGCATTCAGATCTGGTGAGTGTATGAAATTAATACTTGGGATGTCTATTTCTGAAATCCTGTGTGTTTGGGTTGTTATAGATACTGCAACATCCATCCATCCATCCATCCATCCATCCATCCATCCATCCATCCATCCATCCATATCTGAAATCAAAATGTATTAATCTGAAACAATTAATTTTAAGAAATGAGGGAAATCACTGTACCATTTGTATAGGACTACATGGTTTGGGCTTTAAGAGCTTTTAGTATTTTTTTAAACATGAAGACTTTTTTTTGGAGTACATTTAGTTCAACATTTCAGGCACATTTTGTAAGATATAATAATACATACAAACATAGCTGGTCATGCAAAAGGCAAAGAAAGAAATAAGAAAAATGACAAACTGCATTATTGTCAGACACATTTTTAATCATCCTTTTTAAGTTGTTTTTTTGGTATTATTCTCTCTGATCAGCAATGCAAAGGTTTGCAGACGGTATAATTTCCTTCCTCTTATTGCCTCGTTCCTGCTTCACAGCATCTATCTTCGCCTTGTGCAGTGCAAACAGGAGAGGGGGGTGCACCCCTGTAAACCTGGGAAGATTAGAAAAGGAAAAAAAAATGTATCAAGAAGAAATGAACAAAAAATGATTTACAGATTTTTGGGCTACTCATACTATTTTCTGTCAGGTTTTCCTTAACTATGGTTGGAGATAAGGCCAAAAGCTGAGAGGATAAGAAGATAAAAGCATAATAAAAGAAAGGAGAGAGGGTTATTTATCTCAGATGTAGACCCAAAACTCAGCAGAGGGAGTGATTTATGAGGGTTTGCAGCTATAACTGGAACATCCATGTACATCAATAAACTTTATATTCTATAGATGTTGTGGTCCTTACACTTACATATATATAATTTATTCAAGATTGGCTCCATTGCATGGAGATGAGGAAAGGAATTATCAAAGACGTCCCATATATCCTGGTGGATCCTCTGCAGATTACATTGTTTAATGTTATTTTATTTTAAAATGAGCACCATGCGGATGAGGGTCGCTGCGCCCCCTGGTGGCGGGCAGAGGAGGTGCGGAATGCATCGGTTGGTTTAAAAGGCTCCGGTTGGGGAGGAGCGTCCCACAGATCTGAGGAGCGCTGCAGCGGGAAAAGTTAACCTTTAAGTACCACAGACCGTCCAAAGGAGGGAGAAACGCAGAGATGGCAACCCAGGCGGAGCAGCTGCCCCAACTGCACCTTGCTGAGCTCACCGCAGCGCAGTTCATCGACATCTGGAAACACTACGACACAGACGGTCAGTGAAGCCAGCTGTGGGTCCAATCAATTAGGGCAATTAAGGTTCATTTGATTGCCTTTTTTTATTTTAATAATAATAATAATATTAAAAAGAAACATGAAAAAACTGATGAAAAAGTATGAGAAGCAAACATTTTATTTTGAAGTTGATGCTTTATTGCATGTAAAAATACGAATATTACAAATTTTGCAAAGAATCTAATTATATTTAAGTTGGTTAATGACTTAAAAATTTATTTTTAAGTGTATAGATGAGGTACCTATGGGATTGAAGTCAATTTATGAGCAGAAGATGTTGAAAAACGGAGGGAAGAGAAAGTGATATACAGTAAAGATGATAGAGGAGGTAAAGCGTTGAAGGATGAACAGAAAAGGGATGGAGGGAGAGAAAGGATGGAAGGGGGAGGGAGAGAGAGACAGGCAGAAACAGGCAGAGGGAGGAGATGGGAGGATGGAGGAGTGAAAGTGTGCTTTGGATTTTATTGGATGGTACTTTTCAATCTGTAAGCCTATTGGTTATAAACTGGTTAAAATGTTAACTGTATTTGTTATAATAGTACAGAGAGTGAACATGCTCATGTTACTTAGAGAGAATCCAGGGTTTGGACAGTATTCATGTTAAGGTTTCGTTTTTTGCTGTTGCTGTAGAAAACTCATAATCATGAGGAAACAGCTCTCCTAGTCACTCTGGCTTTCATGACCAGCTGAATATTACAATATATGTAGTATTTTTATTCATATATTCTTAGACAAGGAGTGGGAAATTAGTTTCTATATTTTTTTAATATACCGTAGGCTGAATGTAGGTTTATTTATTTATTTATTCACCAATTTATATATGCTTTATGTTTTGTTTAATGCCCCTTTTAGATGCTGTGCCACTCAATTCTTGCCTTGTTTGTCCATGATATTCATAGAGTTGAAGTATTTTAAAATAACCTACATTATGTTTGTTTATTTATTTATCTATCTATTTATGTATTTATTTTCTGGTGATTAAAATGGTCTGTCAGGTTTTTGCTTTTTTTGTTTTGTTTTTAATTTCAAGGTTTACCATAATTCCTAAATCAAAACCTTTAAAGTCCCCTTAATGTATATTTGGTTTGGGTGTGAAAACCGTCACCCATCTCACCATCAAGTTCAGACCGTGTTGTGTTTATAACAGTAAAACTCTTAGCAGCCCAGCTATCAAATCAGTAGAGCTGATTCAGAGATCATAATGCAATAAATCTAAACACCAATAAGAAATTATTTGCAAAGTATGAGATGAGGTTAATTAATATTTGGAGAAAGAGATTGTTTTCCTAAGTTGAACAAAAGAATTCAGATGCATTTGAAGTTCAGAATTCTAGCTATAATAAAGTAATTTGAACAAAATGATTGTATAAAGAGGATTTTTTCCTTAACTTGGTTGTTGGCAATGACTGCCTGTCACATGCTTGTCAGGAGGCCAAGCAGTCTTGGAGGTGGGACCCAAACTGGTTGACAGAAAAACATGCTTTGTAGAGTTTTCAGCAGACAAAATTTTAATTTCTTCTTGTGCAGGACATCAACAAAACCACACCAACCAAGAACAATGGCAGACATGTTTCTTAAATAGAGGAGAAACTAAATTGGAAGAAACCATTTTTAAAAAGACTGTTCAGCTTCACAATAAGAAGAAAAGGAAATTTTGGTTTAAACAAACAACTACTTAAGAAATACTTTTACCAATAAATACAGAAACAAATATATTAATTCAATCCAAACAAATACTCAAACTCAATAAAGAAAATACCATACATCAGATCAACCTCCTCCCTCTTCAATTATCTAATGGTACAGTCCTGTACACACCTGCTTGGAGAGTGAAACAGCAGAGGTGAGTATTTCAAAATATTTTAAATATTTAATGTCCCTTTTATAAATAAACAAAAAAATATATATATTTTAAAGTGAAATCAATTTACCTTTTTACAAAAATAAACACAAGATGTGGCCAACCAAAGAACCAAAACCCAAACAAATATAAACCAATGTAGAAAACCAGATCCTGTGTTTAGCTGCTACTATGGCCAATATACAATTAACAATGGCTCATTGTTACATCTCCTCCCCCCTTCTCCCAAGAATAAAGTACTTCAATTTTCATGTACCCGGGAAAGACAGTCTGCCACCAGGTTTGCCTTTCCTGACCTATAGTGAATAGTGAAGTCATAAGGCTGAAGTGACAAATACCACCCTGTGAGACGAGTGTTCGATTCTTTCATCCTCTTGAGCCACTGCAGAGCCCGATGGTCAGTTTCCAGGTAGAAGTGACGTCCTAAGAGGTAGTACTTCAGGGAACTAATTGCCCACTTCATGGCCAAGCACTCCTTTTCCACAGTCGAGTAACGTGTCTCTCGATCCAAAAGTTTCCGGCTCAGGAACAGTACTGGCTTTCTTTGTCCATCCACGTCCTGCAAAAGCACAGCTCCCAGGCCAACTGCTGAAGCATCAGTTTGAAGAATGAATGAATTATTGAAATCAGGGGTGTGAAGAACAGACTCACTTGTTATGGCCATCTTCAGGTCTTTAAAGGCCCTGTCACAGTCCTCGGTCCATTTCACTTTCGTTGGTGCTGAAGCCTTTGTGAGATTAGTTAACGCCGCTGCTCTGTCAGCAAAATGTGGAATAAATTTGCTGTACCAACCTACCAGTCCTAGGAATGCTCGAACCCTCTTTTTGGTGCTTGGAACAGGATAGGAGTGGATGGCATCCACCTTTCCAACTCGAGGCTTTATAACACCTTGACCAACAATATGGCCCAGATAGTCCACTTCACTTTTTGCTAAGGAGCATTTGCCAGGATTGATTGTAAGCCCAGCATTTTTTAGCAGCCGAAGAACCTGCTGAAGGTGAGTAACATGGTCCTCCCATGTCTGGCTAAAGATGACCACATCATCCAAATAGGCAGCAGCAAATTGTGGTACATCTCGAAGAATCTGGTCCATGAGTCTCTGAAATGTTGCTGGTGCCCCCTGTAGACCAAACGGCATCACCTTGAACTGGTACAAACCAAATGGTGTGGTGAAAGCTGTCAGTTCTTTAGTTTCTTGTGCCAAGGAGAGTTGCCAATAACCTTTGCTCAAGTCAATAGTGCTGATGAACTTTGAATTGCCAACCTTCTCCAACAACTCATCTATTCTTGGCATTGGGTATGACTGACACTTTGACATTGAGTTAAGATATCTGAAGTCAATACAGAATCTTAGAGAACCATCTTTTGTTGGAACCAAAACAATAGGACTACACCACTCACTTGTAGATTGTTCTATTACGTCCCGCTGCAACATCACCTCGACTTCCTCCTTGAGTTTCGGCAGCAGACGTTCAGGGATCCGATAGGACCTTCGGCGTGGTATAGCATCAGCTTTGAGATTAACTTTATGCTCAACCAGAGTAGTAAAACCCGGCCGTTCCGTGAAAAGGTCTGGGTCAAGCAATGCCTGGATCTCTCTCTGCTTACCAGGCTGAAGATGTGACAGATCCACTGTCATGGATTTCTGGTCTTTTCTTGGGAACTCCTGTTCTCTGTCCTCTTCCGCTTCACAAATGAAGAGATGTGGCTGAGGTGAGTCCTGTTTCAACAGTTGGACCTGCTTGGATGAAGGACAGTGAAACTCCTTCAAAAGATTCACATGAAAACACTGATGTTTCTTCTGTTTATCTGGTGTGTGGAGTTCATACGTGACCTTACTCACACATCTTGTGATCTCATAGGGGCCATGCCATTTGGCCAGCAGCTTGTTGTCACTGGTGGGTAGAAGAAGCAAGACCTGCTGTCCAACCTGAAAAGTTCTCTGTCTGGCCTTTTTGTCATACCAGAACTTCTGGTTAGCTTGTGCGGTCTTCATATGCTCCTGTGCTAGTGTCGTCATCCGCTCCAACCTGTCTCTCATCTGAAGAACATAGGCAACCACGTTGTCCTGTTGAGATGTCGGAGTCTCCCAGTGATCTTTCAAAAGATCCAGTGGTCCTCTGACTTGGCGACCATAGAGAAGTTCGAAAGGAGAGAAACCTGTGGATGCTTGTGGAACCTCCCGGTATGCGAACAAAAGATATGGCAGCCACTGGTCCCAGTCAGAGCCTGTTTGGGAGACAAACTTCCGCAGCATGTTTTTTAGAGTCTGATTGAATCTCTCCACCAGCCCATCCGTCTGGGGATGATATGGGGTGGACCTAATACCCTTAATACCTAACAGCCCATAAACCTGCTGCAGCAGTTTTGATAAAAAGTTTGTGCCACAGTCAGTCAGGATTTCTCTGGGTATGCCCACTCTCGAAAACAGCTGGATCAAACAGTTAGCCACATGCCTAGCAGTGATAGATCTAAGAGGAAATGCTTCAGGGTAACGAGTGGCATAGTCACAAATAACGAGGATATATCTATGGCCAGATGAGCTTTTCTCAAGGGGCCCTACTATATCCATTCCAATTCTGTCAAATGGAGTAGCAATTAGCGGCAATGGCTGAAGTTGGGCCCGTGGTACCCCCCTAGGAGATGTTAGCTGGCAAGTTTGACATGTAGCACAAAACTCTTTCAGTTGTATGTACATACCAGGCCAAACAAACCTACTGGCTATCCTTCTGAGGGATTTCTGAAATGCTAGATGACCTGCCCATGGAACAGAATGACCAAGCTCCATTACTTTCTGTGTTAAACATTGTGGTAATGCCAAAGCCTCAATCATGCCCTGTCTTTGATAGAGAATGCCATTTTTAATTATATATGTAGTATCTGCTAGACAATCTGCTGTGTGTAGTTTGTCACCCTCTACCTCTGTAACTTTATCAAACCAAACTTTTAGTTTTGGATCAGCCCTTTGAAGTGCAGCAACATCTGAGGGAATTTCAAAATCTATGGCCTCACTTGGTTCTTTAATAACTTCACACAGGTTTTTTGATGAAACCAAAAACTTCTCCCTCCTCTTTTGTGCTCTGGTCTTCTGCGGCCTCACTGGGCCCCCATCTAGCTCT